ACGTGATTACACTTGTAGATCGTAGCTGCGGCCCGGATACTGAGATTTTGGTCTTTTCTGATAGCTTGAAGAGCAAGATTTATTTTTCGTTCCTCATTAATAGTTGCCATCGCTGGTGGTGGAGAAAATCATATTGAAAGTTGGATGGTGTGGAAATTTGGTGAGGTGTTTCACTCGCTTGTCTGTTTCACTCGCTTATCATGCACGTTATAGATAGTAGCTAGATATTCTATATAATAGAGATTACTTATACTATTAAGAAAAAGAAGAACTTCTTATATAATAATTAAATAAAATAAGTATAGCTCTTATAAGTACTCTTAATATAATAACTATAAAAGTCTAAGAAAAGACTATTATATTATAATAATTATTCTTTTTTTAAAAGAACTTATTTTTAAATTCTTAAAGATTATTATCTTTTATATCTAGAAGTACTATAGCTACTTCTTAATAATAATAAATATATTTATTATATTAAATAAGTATATTAATATAAATTAATAGATTACTTGTGCCTTAAGGCGGCCCGCCTAGTCCTGGCCACAGACCTGCTGGCACAGTACAGGAACTACAGAGAGGTGGGGGAGGAGGGCGACGAAGGAGAGATAGCAACAAGGGACGAAGAGGAAGAGATGGAGAGGGAGGGAGAGAGCGAACAAGAGCGGGAGTAAGCAAGGAGGGATAGGGAAGAGAGAACCGTCTTCATAGGCCCGCGAAGGGTGATTACTGGACGTTAAAAGGAATTAATAATAATAAATAATATTATATATTATTTAATATAAAAGTTTTTTAAAAAATAGTGAAAAACTCAGTCACTGGCCTGCGGAATCTCACACTTGTCGCATGTGCTGCAGCAGTACACTGCTTGTTTGGTTTGTTTTGACCGCTACACAGTACGTCGGACCCAATGCCTCTCCTGTCGTCACGTCCTGTTGCAACATACCAGCTCAATCGTCTCCTGCCGATCATGATCATCATTGTCAATGCTGAACAATATTCCCACAACGGAAGAGGACATAGTAGGAGCATTTATGGATGAAATGCAGTGGATCGGTGGCCTTTTCCTTTTGCGTGGCAGCCCCAACAGCCTCACATGCTCAGAGAGCTCGGTACCAGACGACCCAGCGGTCTGGAATCACGCTCTCGCGTCCTGCAGACTGTCCTCCTCTCCCCTTGCCTCAAGCCCGGAGATGCCGGATACATCTGTCGGAGAATAAACCCGACCGGAGATGCCGGATAGATCTATCTGTCGGAGAAGAAACCCGACCGGAGATGCCGGGTGTCGGAGATCAGGTCCGAGATCTCGATCACGTCAAGCCGACATCTCCGGTGCCGGCATCTCCGGAGCTTAATGATGGTAGCGGCGACGATCACAAGCACTGCCCACTGTAGATTCGAAAATCCAACATGAACGCTGATATGGCGAGGGAGACAGCTAAGGCTCGGAGAGGAGTACCTTCATCACCAAGAACAGCCTAGGCACACCATTATCAAGGATACTTCACTTTCCACACCGGCGCATTTGCATTGGGACAACCGCCCCCTCCCTCCTTCACCTGAAAAGAAAATCAGCATGATTTGGAGCTGTCCTTTCTGTGGCACTCGTACCCCGTACGCTCCTCCAGGGATTCGACCTTCTATTCCCTCCTCTTCAAGAGTCTTGTGTCACCCGATGGCTGCGAACTTCAGCCCAACACGCTCACTCCCGCCGTCAAGGTGACCATCACGATCACGATCACGGTCGCCATCAACGTCAAGGTGTACCATTATTAGCTTACTACTCTGAGTAGTTGACCTATCTACTCCTACTTTCATCGTTTATCCGGTCCGTGCATGTCTTAGACATATTGGACTCGACATTCTGACAATGGCCGGATCTCAAGATATAAAAGCACCTGCGCATCATCATGATCATTCTCATCTGTGGAGTTGGTTGCTGTGACGTGGCCGAACAATGGCGGCAATCATCCGCGAGACCGGCAGTGCGACCTCTCCGACTTGCACAACCATGATCAGTATTCATGGCAAGAAGATGTTGATCATTTCCTATCTCCACAAACTCCATGTTGAAAAAAGTACAGCCTCATTTTGTCCCTTCCAACTGACTTGATATAGATTGCAGGAGGTGGCAAACGCGCATTCTCTCGGCCCGCGGTCTAGGGTTTCTACGATGTTCTATTCAAGGGCAAGAAACTCGAGTTCCGGCATCCTTATAGCTCCTATGTCATGGAGAATGTCCTCTTCAAGGTGTCATACCATGCTAAATTCCACTCCAGACCGCCGTTGAAGATCAAAGAAATCACCAACCGCACCTACGAGACCTCCATTCGAATCATCGATAAGCAATTCAAGCCTATAGACAACCTTACTGACCGAGATCACTGCGTTCAATATATGGTTAGAGTCATGTTGGCGTTCAACCGCTGGAAGCTACCGACTACCCATCCAGGATGGCAGCGAGGCTCCAATCAATGCTACAGTAGGGCCGCATGGTCTTCAAAGCTTGCTCGCTTACAAACACTCATCCAGGTACATCAACATCACTTGCCCATGACTCTGGTGTTTAACTTTCGAATCGCAACCAGAGATGGCTCCATTTCCACAGCTTCCAATGCCGCCGCCATGCATCGTCGACGAACTTGAAATCGACTCAAGAAAGGATCTTCCCCAGGCAACGCCGCCCTGACAGGACCACGCCCGCGCCTCGACCACTGGACGGCCTAAACCTGCTTATGATTGCCCATCTTGCTGAAGGCAATCGCTCGGGTTCGTAGAACATGGCGTCGTCTCGGGGCAGTATGCTCCAGGTTCTTGCGGGGGTGTATTGCTCAGACGTCCTCATAAGTGTCAGGAGGTTGTCAGTTTGTCGAGGGTTTCGTCTCATCCCGCCAACCAACACTCCGTCGCCGGCCCCTCAGCAACATGCATTTGCGTCTGCGTCTGCGTCTGCGTGCCAGCTCGAGTCGCATGCTCCGACATGTACGGGGATGTACAGCACCTTGACGATAACTGCGCTTGCGTGCAGTGCAGGTGGCGTGTAGTTCAGTGCTCTTAACCAAGAAGAAATCAAAGTTGACGCAGATCTTCTCCGAGTTTGACAACAGGCTCGCCGATGGAGTTGACCAAGAACTCGTTATGCTAGAAATGTCGTGCGAAATTGCCGGTATATTGGCCGCACACCCAATCACAAGGAATTTTAAATGTGCAGCACAATAACCGGCCCACGGTGGTCTCGACAATCCACGTAAGGCGCGAGGCCAGAAATGTGGTCCAGGGGTTTGGAATGGGCTACGGGGTAGTTGTGAAGCCCTCAACAAGTCGAGCAGGAGAAAACCAGCCAGCACCAGGCTGAGAGCCAGTGCAAGAAACAGGGGTCCACGAAAATGGTTGGCAGAAGCAAGCATAGCAACCATCATGCCATGAAAGACCTTCCGGGAAGTGTGCGTCGGACGAGGTCATCGAAGGAGGAAGAAGGAACAAGGAAGAAGCCTCGGATACGGGGACTGCTGGATTTGGAGGATACGGACAGGTCGGGCCTGAGGCGTTGTTCCGGCCGGCTTGAAAGGTGCTAAATGTCAGATGCCAGATGCCGCATACCACAACTGCGCGACATGCTAAGTGCGGTCGAGGGGAAAGAGGTCATGATCGAACCGCTGGCTCCCGCAGAGGGAGGAAGAACTGCACGAGTGTTAGGGGGTGGTAATAGCGGAGGATTATTCTGCCCGGCCGGTGGAGGTGGTGGCGGAGGCGAGATAGCAGCAGGAGATGTTCTGTGAAATAGTGGCTGTCCTGCTTTGGGCGGCAATGGCGGTGGTACGATCTGAGTAGAAGGCATATAGCTTTACCGGCTAGGAGGGGGCGGTGGAGGAACAGTAGGTCCATGACTTGGTGGAGGGGGAGGAGCTGAGGATTGACGTTCTCCTGTAAACGGGAGAGGCACCTTAAACATCCCGATGGGCTCGCCTTAGGCGTAGTGCTGGCAATCCCATCAGCGATCAGCGATCAGCGCGCGGGGAGGGTTGAACTCGCTTGGCTCTAAACTTCTAGTGTTTTTTGCACGGCTGGCACCTCTTCAAAGACACGGGTGTCATGGCCACCATCAGAGGGCAACCGGCCTCGGTGCAGATAGGGCAGGGCACCACAAGGAGATCCAGCGAGGATTAAGGAAATGCTTCGATTCAGGTCCATTCAAATCCATGTCTGCTTGTTCACATTGGATCTGATGTACGGAGTACGTTTACCTCAATGGCGAGCCGTAGCTGGACCGGGACCAGCCATTCCGGGAGCGCTGAGCCTTAGGCTTAGGGGCCCCTTAGCCCTTCTACGGATCAAGAAAGAGCATCACTTTCCGTGGGTGCACAATCATCAACGCGAGTGACGTCTTGATTGAACTGAACGCAGCCTCCTAAGCCTTTGCCCCTAAGCCTGATGTTAGGCACTGCAGCCACTTTACTTTCGTTCTTTAGTTGACTTTAGGAGGGTGACCTAAGCCTAAGGGTGGGTGTCAGAACTCATGGCGCCTTAACTCCACAAGCGTTGTGACCAGCGCGATATAAGGTGCCATGAATCCTGACGCCCATCCTTAGCCCCCAAGTCGCCCCTGTGGTGCCCGCAACATTGACCTTAGGCCACACTTCAGGCCACATAGTCGGACATGCATGGATAAGGTAGGGACCACTGGTGCCACCGGCTACGCATGACCACATTGCGTGTGCAATGGCATTACTGTTGAATCGTCCATCACAGCACCACATCTGGATCTCGGATTGTGATAGCCTTGTAAAAGGCAGCAAATCATAGACGTTTGGCAATAAAGATGAATGGCGGCCATGACTTTGTCAAAGGTTGAAATGTTCTATATTCTCTATCAAAGGGTCGCAGGGAGCACATGCTTATAGTATAGACAGCATGCCTAAACCAGGTTTCTAGTTAAAGCACAGGGCTGGGAAAGCCTAAATTAGTGCCTAGGTTTGACAGACTTGGGCATAGGTTTTGGGAATGGGTAGGGTTCGATATCGGCGTGGAGTCGGAGTCGCTTCTAGACAGCTTGTTGGACCACCACTGAAGCGCATAAAATTGGGCGACCCCAAGACTAGAAGCGACGACGAGAACTCGTTACTAATGCCCTCCCGCCCCGCCCCCGTTCCCGTTATACTTTACCACTATTAAGCATCCCGTTGTTCAAACTTCAAGGGGGATGGGGGAGCCCAGACTATACTCCGCACAGGCGTGCCTACACCAGCCTTCTGGTGACAAGCAAGGTTGGGAATGCCTAAGTCGGTGCCTCCAGGCTCTACGGGAAAATCTTAGGGCACCTATTTCAACTCCTAATCCGCACTGTACCTATTTTGGCTATCTTACTACGTGATGGGTGTTGTACAACGGTAGAGACGTTGTGCGAGGGCCCTTAGGCATCTTACAGAAGGCTTAGGGGTTCATTACAGAGGCTACTTAGGCCGCATATAGTGCCTACTAGGTAATCCACGACGCCTACAACGCCTATAGCGCCTACAACACCTTAACTTACTTATATGATTTCTCGGCCTCGTGCTGATCGATCTCCCTCTCCTGCTTGGGCCTACGAACCCTCGTCTCCACGACCCCGCTAGAATTAGGTGGAGAGAAGAGGAAGAGAGTTCAAACTTACTCCGTACAACGTGCAAGTCCGATACTTGTCGTGTCTTGCAGAACGTCGTGTACGGATCACTCTCCCAGCAACGAGGTTAGCAACAACAAGGTCAGCGTAAGAATTCAGCCGGATTAACTAGAATCCGGCCTTGGTGCGGTGCGGACGAGCAAGCTGCCACCAGACTCCCTACTCCGGAGTATGTGGCCATGACCACGGCGCCTACGGTCGAACAGGACGCGGGAATATGTAGGGCCAAGGCACAATTCATGTAACTGACCACGTGACGGTTGGGTGGTCTCACTTTTTGGCGGGAGAAAGAGGTAGAAAAATGTCGAAAAGTTGGCATGAAGGGGGGATGGCCAGATACCCAACTTCTGGCCGGATGCTCGTCCTCTCACCGACCCCTCACCCCCCCTGAGGCACCCTGGAGTGCTGGTTGGATGGAAAAAGTGAGGCTGGGACATGTAAGGAGACCGGGGGTGCGACACTAAAAGACCAGGGTGAAGCACTAAAAAAGTCGAAGACCGGGGGAGGGACCGGGGGAGCGACCGGGGTCTGGGGTAGGGGGGTAGCGCCTAAACGGCCAATGACTTAATTCCCTCACGCTGTCCCTTGTCGATGCTCGACGCGGGCTTCAAAATTGGCCAGCACCGTCCCCTCAAACTCAATTCTGGTGTCTTGGACGAATGGCGAGGCAGAATACTTGTCGCGACTTGCAGGTTCTGCAAGCAGCCACCCTCCAAACTCAGTTTTGCTCTCGTCGTCGAATCGCGAGGCAGTTTTCTGCCGGCACAACCCCCAAGACCCAACGTTTGCTATCTTTGACGAATCGCAGGGCAGAATGTCGACGCAGCTTTCGGGTTTCTGCAAACACCCATCCTGCAGCCTCAGCTTTGTTATCTCTGTCGAATCGGGAAGCACAGCGGCCCTGGTCGACCCTCGACGCGAGCTGCAGAGTTGGCCAACACGGCGCTTTGCTATCTTGGACGAATCGTATTGTGATATTCAACAGGACGGAGGTGACATGTCAAATACAATACAGAGCTACCCAATACATATGCACGTGAAAAAGTATGATTCAGGGAGGAAAGCACAGCACTTAGTTAACATATTAATATAATATAGAGCTACCTAATACATATACACATAAAAAAGTATAATTTAGGAAAGAAAGTACAGCACTTAGTTAAGATATTAATATAATATAGAGCTACCTAATATATATATACGTAAAAAAGTATAATTTAGGGAGGAAAGTATAGTACTTAGTTAATATATTAATATAATATAGAGCTACCTAATGTATATGTACGGGAAAAAGTCTGATTGAGGAGGATTGTGATACCTAACAGCACTGAGTTGACATATCACATGCAATGCAGAGCTGCCCAACGCTGTCCTCGTATATGCACGGGAAAAGTTTGATTGAGGAGGAGGGGGCACGGACACTCACATGTGCCATCCCTTTTCGCTGGCAATCACCGAGTCACATATGCCATCCCTTGTCGCTGAATGATCACTGTGTCACTGCAGCTGTAGACCGGCATTCTGACCCCGAGCTGAAAATGAAAATCGCGCAGTAGTGCCAGCGCATCAGGCAGCAAAGAAATGATGATGTGATGTTGGTTGTTGTTGGTTGTTGTTGAAGGCGGGCAACAGGCTATTCTGCCGGCAGAATTGAGTACTGCGGAGCACTGCTACCAAGGGCGCAAAGAGTGCGATGTACCTGGTACATGTAACATATATTACGCCGTACTCTTAGGTATGCCAAGCCTTGCCTGATCACGTGCTTGGCAGTAGAATTATAGAATCTCTACGGTGTACGGGGTACGAGATACGGGGCACGAGATACGGGGTACGAAGTACGGAGCATGTCTCTAGTCACATGATCCTTCATACTGCCACGCGCCACACAAAGGGAATAATCACCCATAAACGTGACTATGGCTGTGGCGATGACTGTGGCGGTGACTGACTATGACTGTGACTGAGATTGTGTGAACCACCGCCTACTGCCTTGCCTGCGCTGCCTGCGCTCCGCTGTCTACGCCGCCCGTTATGTAAAGTTTCTAAGCACCCCTCCCCAGCCGAGGACCACGCAGGACGCGCCCGGAACAGGCTTTGACCATATAGGCTGAAGTACCTAAAGAGGTGTACGACACACCCACACACCCACACACAAGCCCCCCTCTCCTTGCTGTGGTGGTGACTGTGGCGATGACTGACATTGACTGTGATTGTGATTGTGTGAACCACCAGCTACTGCCTGCGCTGCCTGAACTGCCTGCACTCCGCTGCCTGCGCTGGCTGTTATGTGAACCCCACCCTTCCCTGGCTGTGGCAGTGACTGTGATTGTGCGAACCACCGCCTGCTGCCTGCGCTGCCTGCACTGTCTGCGCTGTCTGCGCTCCGCTGCCTCTTCTGTAAAGCCTTGGACCCGCATTTTGTTTGATAGCCTTGCCCCTTAGCCTCGCCGTGATACAACTGTTGTAGCACGCCCCTTGACAATCATGCCTCTTGATATGGTCTTTGCTTTAGTTTGCAACCTGCAACTTAAACTTGTGCCTTTACACTCTGTACTCCACAACTTTCCTCTACAGCTTGCGCACCTTTACACTCTGTACTCCACACCTTTCCTCCACCACTTTTGCATCTTTACCTTGCACCTTGCAACTTGCACCGTACACTTTGCAACCTTACACCTTGTACTATACTTCTTCATATTATTCTTAACTCTTCAAAGTTTACAACGTCCGTCACCCGCTGGCTGATCTGGCATCTATATCGACACGGTCAAGTGCTGTGGCCTGGCACAGAACGGCTACGGGGACATAGCACGAGGATGAGACGAGTTGATATGAAATGAAAGAGAACGACGCGGTGTACGGCAATTTCTCCAACATCATCTTCGACCACCAGCATCCTGTGCCGCTGGCAGCCAACGACGAGGCATAAAATCATGCCAAAAAAAGTCCTGGAGAGTGAGTGACATTATTCGGCGGTCAGGCACACAGGTAGCAGAGCGACTACATAACAAAGCTCGTCTCTTTAACCACAAGCTCCTTGAAGATCCATCCCATCGCGGACGTAAACCCGAGTGGAAAATGGGAAATGGGAAATGGGAAATGGGAAATACTTGCCCTCCACCCCCAGCGAGGTTCCCAGGCTCAACGAAACACTGCTGCCCATCTGGAACATTGTGAAACCTTCTTGTTTGTTGTCCACGGTCTTCCTGGATATCCAAACCCCGACGTTTCCCTGGTCTCCCAGCCCTGAGGCGCTCAACCTGGTACATTTCATCCTCGATCGATCAGCAAACAAAGTCTGATAAATCGTAATATGGTGACGATTGTGGCTGTGGCTGGCCGGGCGCCGCTGCGTCGTCTTCTTGTCCTTATTGCCCTTCTTGTTCTTTTTGTAAGCATGTTAACATGGAAACACGCAATAGACTGATCACTTGCAAGACACAAGTCCTGTAGAGCCACAACTTTGTCAATCGCGAAGAATCCATCCAATCTGTCCAGGCTCGGATGTCTAATCGTAAAGTGGTAGCCTAGACATATAGCGGTGATTTCCTTAAACTCTCAAGTACTGCGGATTCGCGGCTTCGAGCAGGGTGCGACTCTAGCTCTCTTCAAGAATGTTGGATACGCTCTTAACAGAGCAACACTCTCCACAGAGTAGCGTACTCGAGAGAGTAACGTACTTGACCGAGCAACGCTCTCGGCGAGCCTGACAAAGAGAAGTGCCTTGAACTACTCGGCGAGAGTCTCGCCTGTGTTGCTCTCTCGTCTACGTTGCTCTGTTTAACGCTTTACTTTCGCATTCACCGCTTCCTTGCGCCCTCGCTACCCATGTCCACTCTGCTGGCCCGGATCTGTCTTCTCCATGTCGCTCCGACCATGGTGCAATGTTGTGTTGAGCCAAGATCTCAGCATCCAGCCCTGTGGTGGTTGAGTTCGATGTGGATGCTGTTACTGCGGCATCTATGCGTAACAGCCGTGCTCGCTCCTCTTCCAGACATGCAGCACAGAGCAGAGTCACCTAAGATGCTGAAAACATGGAAGGACCGGCTGGTAAAGATGATGAGCCAAGACAAATTTGTCTTGCGACAACAAGGGTGATAGGATAGGGGCCGAGACTTTGTCTTGACGATCGATCGATGGGACTCGTATACGTCGATAATGAGCCGCAGCTGTCTTCCATTTGACCCACTGACCCAGACGCTGCTGACCAGCCCACAGGCTCTGGATCAGACGGAATACAGGCGGACACATCGCAGTCGGCGTCGTTCAGGGTTCAGGGAGGTCTTGATACCCGTCGATCAATGTCTATAGATTTCCCGGTCAGCCCGTATTCCTCATCTTCGGTCTGGATGAACGTACTCACTCTGGAGAGTCTAGCATGCCCTGGTCAAGCGCATCCCCGTGTCCACTGTCACACAGAGAGGCCTTAGCCCAGCGTCACACCGGCCCCAGCTCCGAACACTTCCCCGGCCAATTCGACCCTGTCTACAGGCCGAACACCTCGCGTTGTAGGTTTTTTGCATTTGTTTCCTTGCCAGATCGAACACAATAGTGGTGCTCGTACAGTCATCAAATCAGACTAGATCGCATCAGCTCAGCTCACCTCATGTGAAGGACGATATGTTGACTGTGTCAGGATCTTGGAGTATCGTGTTCCTTCTTCTACCAGCAACTCCGGGTGAGTCTTCGAGTATTCGAGAATGCCACCCGGCGTTCTGGACGGCGATGGTCATGGGCGATTTGAGTACACACGCCGACCACCCAGTGGCGACGCGCAAGGACAGACATCTGATCGTGTACTTGATGCGGTAGAAGAACTGTTCGTTGCGCAGGAACTCGAACAGGTCGCGTGCGGTGGATCGAGGCAGAATCTTCTCTCGGGTGGCCTAGGGCCTTTGTTTCCCATATTATGATTGCAGAGTCGGAGGCTCCGTACGGATGCAGTACTGACTTACCAACTCAACGATTGTGGTTCTTCATCTTCTTCATGCTATACATCTCAGCGGTCAGCAGTGGCGTAGGTTGCAGGTAAGGTACGTAGTCCAAGTACAAGGCTAGGCTAGCCAGTGGGTGGATGGGATCTACTCCGTACATGTAGATCAGATATTAACTACAGTCGGACTATACAGTACAGTATGTACAGTGAGTACCGACGAGAGTATGGCATGCATGGCACGCGCAGAGTAGTGCGAAGAGGAAGAGCTGTCAGGGGCGGGGCATCCAGGGAAGGCCCTTTGGTCACATAACAAGGCCAAGGCGCGCAAGACTATTTGCTCTTGTTCTCTCTCTCTCGAAGTATATCGATAACTCGAGCTATACTACAGCTTTCTATTTAGTGAGTCCTCCACTCCAGCCTTGGTAGCAATTCTGGAGTACATGCTAGCCTGAGCCCCCTATTTCCTAGTTGGCCTAAGTCCTAGAGGGCTCCCAGTGCTCTGACATATTAAGGCTCCGCAAACATACCTCGAAAACAGCAGTGGTCCGGGACGTATGGACTTTTGGACGTGTCTCATGGAGGTAAGGTGATCTATGGAGTACATCTCCGTACGGTGCAGTCGATGGCAGGAATGATGCTTGGCTCCAGACCCGTCGGTCATTGGCTGCAGTGGGGCCCATGGCGCAACTGCTGGGTGGAATGGCGTGCTCTAGTGCATATGCTTTTTGCCTGCTCTCTCAACCTCACTTTGTGGTAATCCTCAGGTGCGACTTGCCATACACCCTACCTTACACAGCTACATCTGTCTCTCTGCTTTCTGCTCCCTGGTCCAGCAAGATGCCCCAGATGATTGGCATCTCCCCTCTCCCCTCTCCCATCTCCTATTTCCCTTAGTTCCTCTCCATGCCCGCAGCCAGACGCAAATACCGTCCTTCCAGAGACATCTGTGCCGCCTGCCGCACCCGCAAAGTCCGCTGTGGTGGTCGTGGCAGTGGAAATGGAAATGGAGATGACAGTGACAACGGCAATGACAATGATGGCTCGGCTGCCTGCGATCACTGTGACAGGCTTGGATTGTCGTGTGTCTTCCCAGACGCCACTTCCTCTTCCACCCGGCCGATGTGTGACTTGCCGAGACAACGGGCAATAAGAGCTTGTCTCCATTGCCATGCACGCAAGATCCGCTGCACTGGCCAACTCCCCCAGTGCCGGAGGTGTCTTGATCTAGGTCTCGGTTGCGTATATCCGCCACACAAGAAAACACAGTCTGGGCCTGGGCCTGCTCCACGATCGGAGCCACATACGAATGTCACGTCCACGGGGACGGCTTCCCTATCAGAGCAAGACTCGAGACAATCCACCGACGCCTTGTCCGACTCGGTCATCATGCAGTCCGACAGTCGGAGTATGACGGACCATATGGACTGCCTGGAAGTGGAAGTGGACAATGCAGGTTTGCCTGCCCTCCCTCCGCTGCGTGTCATGAGAAAGATCTTCGATGCCTTTTTCGAGCACATCTACCCTATTCCCGTCTTTTCTTTTCTTCACAGAGCCTCTCTGCTCCAGCTTTACCAGTCCGGCCGGGCCGACCAGGGCCTTCTCTTTGCCATCATTGCCCTCACCGTCCTTCTCACCGACGTGGACGCAGAAACCGGTGTGTCCGCCAGCCGATACATGGATTTCGCGCAGGGACCCGTGTTACAGCAGCTGGAACGGCCTTCAGTCACCAAGCTCCAGGTTCTCGTGCTTGCCATCAGATTCAGAGGTCTGATCCGGCAACGGGCAATGGCATTCATGCTCCTCCCGACAGCCACTCGCATGGCGTACATTCTCCGTCTAAACTACGAAAACCCGGAACGGAGTGCAGTGGCACGGGAGTCCAACAGACGGTTGATGTGGTCGGTCTTCACGCTCGATGGCATGATGTCCGGGGGTCTCCCCGACTTTCGCCTGTGCGCACCCGAGACGCTGCATATCCAGCTGCCGTGCAATGAAGAGAACTTTGAACTGGGTGTCGATGAGACCACTCCGGATCTGGAGACTTCGCAATCAGCCTCGGGCCAATTCCCTGCCAACACCGGCTTGGTGGCGTTGTACATCCGCATATCATGGATGAGGAGTCGAATCTTGCAACACACCAAGCGGGTGGTCGCGGCGCGCTCCCACGACACGGAGGAAATCGAACGCAGCATCACCTCCTTGGGCCGCGACCTGGCGGCAATCGCAGCATGCCTCCCCGCGAAGTATGTCTTCTCGGCCAACAATCTACGATTGCGGGCTTTCTCGTCACGACTGAGTGCATTCGTGCTGTTTCATCTCTGGTGGCATCAATGTCATTGCGATCTGTTTCGAATAGCATTGTCGGGATTGCGGGAGGCCCTGCCACAGTCCACCACCCAAAGGTTGACCCCGGAATTCGTCTCCCACTGTCGGAGGCAGTGTTTCGACCACGGGGCTTCCATCATCGAAATCTTCACCACGCTACAGTCTCTACCAATCGATTCACTCTTCCTGGACTGGGATTCGGTGGCCTGTGCCTACCAGAGTGCGCGATATCTGTTCTATGGATTTCAGAGCGACAGTCAGGGGTGCGGCATGTCTGCAGGGAAGGTCAAGTCGTCTGCCGCGGTGTGTCTCTCTGTGGTCCAAGGCAGATATCTCCCACACCAGATAACGCCCGAGAAAACGGTAAGCCCCAACTACTATCCACGCCACTCACATATACTGACGCCGAGTCAACAGACGGACCTGGCAACCATGGTCGAGCGAGACCTATCAAACACCTCGGCTGTGCTTGAAGACCAGGATTCGAACCGATGTCCACGGCACGGGGACAGACCGACCGACCTCTCACCTGCCTCTCAGCAGATCCTGTCCCATCAGAGTATCATATTCGACGTGAATATCCAGCCCGAGGGTGACGAAGTAGCGATACCTCCAACATTACCTCAATGCACGCCTCGTATGAAGATGTCAGGAACCACGACAGCTCGGTCCGGAGTCTCCACTTCCGGCCAGGAAATACCTCGCTTTCCCGAGTTTGATCACCCAATCGACTTCTCCTCGCTGCAACCCGACACGTCCGTTTTTGATGCACTTTTTGACGAAAGTATGTATCATGATTTGTACGGGTTCGACAACATGGCCTGGTTCTCCGAGCAGAGTTGGACGCCCGGTTCCAATGAAGACCCGTGTGAAAGTGTGGTATAATTCACCAAAGAATCAGTCCATATCATGATATGATTGATATATCGCTCCCACTCCGAGTCCGAGATTTGTCAGGGGTACCAGAGTGCAGTATCAGTGTCAGATCGAATTCTTTCTAAGATGGCAGAGGTCCTGGCAGGCCTGGACTGATTCTTCCGCGTCTGCTTCTTCATCCTCGACTTCTTCTTCTTTACCCTCCTCGACGTCAACAATTTCGATCCGCTGTGGGAACTTGTTCCAGTGATCTTTCTTTGCTTCCTTTCCATGTCTGAGTTAAGTGTGACACGTCAGTCTGGCTCTTGTAGCCAACCCGAGGGGATTCGAATTCCGGTACTGAGTCAGACTTGGCTGGCGATTCTTCCATCTTCATCCTCGCCATGTCGAAGTGAACTTTGCCTGCTTTCTTGTTCTTTAGTGCTGGTAGGTTGGGTTGCTCTCGTTGACAATGGCTTTGTACTTGGAAGGTGAAAGAGATATTGCTAACTTGAATCCTTGCCATCCGTGAGTGTCACTGTGTACCAAGGCTTAGGCTGGGTCCTTAGGGGTCAGAATTCATGGCGTCTTAAGTCCGCACGTGTTGTGACTAGCGCGACATAAGGCACCATGAGTTCTAACACCCAGCCCCAGGCCTTAGGCCTGGGGGCCACCCTGACTATATACTCGGCAGCACCTAACTTTGAGGGCGAGGGGTGGAGGCGCGAGTCTCCTGGGCTCTCTTGTGTCCTTGAGTCTTCCTTCCCCGGCAGGGTAGATGGTAGAGACTGAGACTTGTACTTGTAGATGAGGCTGGAGAATACTCTCTAATATTCAACAAGTCCAAGGACTGGCAGGCTCACCCCCGGCACTCCATGTCCGACCAAGGTCCAGTTTATGTCGTGTCGTCCTCCGCCTCTAGCATCACTGACGTTCGGCATCGATAGGCCTCAAGTTTGTCGCCAGTCCCTTGACGGCTGCCTTCTCCTCATCCCCATCGCCCGCCAGCACAATCCCCCCAAAATCATAGTCCTTGAAATTCCGCAGTGGCACTTTGTGCTGGAATAGGTAATCAACCTGCTCCAGGGTTTTGCCCTTGCATTCAGGCACACAGAAGTATGTGAAGACGACGGAGAGAACCGCGATCGATCCGAAGATGAATCCCACTTTCGACTCGAGCCCGGCGTACTGGGGGTAGATCAAGTAGGGGACGGAAAAGCTGACGGCAAAACTGGGTCAAGGTAAGTATGGCCTCATGGCACTGGAGGTGGTCTGAAAACTCACTTGAAGAGAACATTGAACCCGAATCCAACCCGCATCGTCAGGTCCTTCAGTCTCAGCGCCGGTAGCTCGGTCGACACGACATAGGTCATGGGAGCCCAGCCAATGGTGAAGCCGACGCTCATGATCGTCATCATGGACACAATTCCTATCGACGTTCCGCGACCTGTTGGGTGGCGTGTCCCCAGCCCACCCATCGTCATCAATCCTGCCACCTGGGTGAGTCCACCGATGAAAAGGAGAGGCCTGGTTTTCGGTCAGAAAAGTACTTGCGCCAGGCGGGGATGGAGCATGGCATGTCCATTCGGAATACATACCGTCGACCAATTCGATCGCTGATCAGTAAGACGAATGCGAGAGCCACCAGGCCAATCCCGGCATTGATCAGTCCCATACTGAACGGGTTGACCGTCCCGAGACGGCTAATGAAGATGGCGCCGTATTGACTGGCGAAGGCCTGGCCAGTGGCTTGCTGAAATACGTTCATCATAATCACCAACACCGTTCGCATGAGATTGGTTCCCTGGAACAACTCGATATAGCGGCCTTTTTCTTGCTCCACTGCGAGGCCATATTTGAGTTCTTGGAACTCCGTCTCAATCGCCTCTTGGGTAAACGCTCCCGCCCGCAGTTTTTCCAGGTTGTTCTTGGCCTCCTCTTCATGGCCGTGGAGGAGCAGCCAGCGTGGGCTTTCGGGGACGAGGAAGATCAAGCTCAGGATGACGGTGGGGATGATGTAGAACAGGCCGAGCGGGATGCGCCACGCGCGGTCGTCAGAGAGGGTGCTAGTTCCGCGACAGACCGAATTGATCACCAGTCCACCGAGACCGATGCTCAGCTGATACGTGCCGACAATAAGACTTCTTGCCGGGGCCGGGACGATCTCGCTTTGGTAGACCGGAACAACCGCCAACTCCATCCCAACATAAATGTAGTTCAAGATTCGGGCCGCCATGATTTGTTCGCGGTGTTGTGAGGTCACCGCGATCGTGGCCGTCACCAAGGCATAGCAACTCATGCAAAACATGCACCATCGTCGGCCGAATCGAGAGGAGATTTCGGTGCCGATAAGGACACCGGCAGCGAAGCCGATGTAGTTGAGACTGTTGAACAGAGACAGCCAGTACGGTTCCAGAGCGTACTTGCCCGTGGCATGGTTCAGCTTCCCGAACCGCCTGGTGAAGGGCGGCATTGCCTGTGTGGTCGCGAAGGCTTGATTGTCAAAGCCATAGTTGGTCGAGGACAGGGCTATCAGAAGGCAGCCCAACGCCAGGGGCCGGTTGAAGTATTGCAGAGGGGAAAAGATGGTCATGGTCAAGGTGAGGGTCGTGGTCAACGGTGACGAGAAGACCTGCCTGCGACTGCGACTGTGGTGCCACCCCTTTTGTATCTCAGTCGCTCCCACCACGGCGTAGGAACATTTTGCCACTCCTGAAGTGCCGATTGCCGCACGACCATGATCTCTGCATGGGCTTTGCTACCCAGGTCAATGTGTTGACACAAATGCAGCTCAGGTGTTTGAGGCTGAAGTTTGCAGATGGCGCCATTCCGACAGCCGCGTTGGTGCAATCACCGCAACCGGAATTTCCGACGGCCGCTTTGAAGATTCGATTCACCCCTGATCCTCATCCCGACAGCCGCCCGTGCCCCGATGGTGACCTGTCCTGCGCTTCTCTTCTTCATGGAGACATGTCAATGGCATATTGCGCCATCTGCATGCGAACCGAACCTCACGTCCACTCCATTGCACCAAGTCAATGTCTCATTCCTTGCCGGCAAAGCCTCTCCCTCTCCCCGTCAGCTCCGGCGATGGAACGGGCAGGGGCAGGCCAAACTTGATCATTTTCATGCCCGACCAGTTGCGGTACGATGCACTGGGCTGTAGTAGCGATGGCACGGCACCGATCCGAACCCCGAACATCGACGCCTTTGCCCGTCGTGGCACGCGGTTGACCAACTGCTTCACCCAGGCCTCGGTCTGTTCTCAGTCGAGATGCAGCATGTTCACCGGCACCTACCCCCATGTCAGCGGTCATCGAAGCCTCGAAAACCTCATCAAGCCCTGGGAGCCGAACATGTTTCGGTCGCTGAAAGAGTGGGGCTATCACGTCGCTTTCTTAGCCCCCCGGGGAGACACCTTCGCCCCGACCGTGACCGAGCTGAGTGTCACCGAATATGGCTTCCTGGAGACTCCCGGGTTCGTGCCCGACTTTTCAAAGGGTGCCGTGCCTTCAGAGGATATCTGGGGCCGTCTCTTCTATCGCGGCCTGCGAAGCCCCGAGGAGTCACTCGACTACGACGACGCGGTCGTCCGGTCGGCCCTCAAATGGCTGGAATGTCCTCCAGACGACCGCCCTTGGGTCCTGTTTCTCCCCTTGATTTTCCCCCACTGTCCATTCCAAGTGGAAGAGCCATACTTCTCCATGTACGATCGGTCAGCCATGCCGGAGGTTTCGCATGCCACGCAGAAGACGGGTTACGAGCCGCGGTATATGAAGGCCATCCGAGATCGGTACGGCACGCATCGGGCCACGGATGAGATCTGGGCTGAGGTCAAGGCCACCTACTATGGAATGATATCCAGGCTAGATGACCAGTTCGGCCAGCTGGTCGACAAGGTGGACCGGCTGGGGTTGTGGGACAGCACCATCACCATGTTCTTTACCGACCACGGCGAATATCTGGGAGATCATGGTCTCATCGAGAAATGGCCTTCGGGTCTTTCCGACTCCCTAGTTCATGAACCGCTGATCTTGGCCGGCGCCGGCTTACCCGAAGGACAGGTCTCCGATGTCATGTCTGAAATGGTCGATCTGATCCCCACGGTGTTTGAGTTTTGCGGCGTGGCGGAAAGCTTCCCGCACAATGGCAAGTCTCTGATCCCCGTCCTTCTCGACGGGGTCCAACATCACAAGGACTTTGCCTTTTCCGAAGGGGGCTTCTTGACCAGCGAGGAGCCGATCCTCGAACAAGCCCCGTACCCATATGACATCAAGGCAGGCCTCCAACACGAGGACACGACCTTGGTGGGGAAAGCCATCAGTATCCGAGATCCGACCTGGACATACGTTTATCGACTCTACGAGCCCGCAGAGCTGTACCACCGACTACAAGACCCCGGCGAGATGCACAATCTTGCCGCCGACCCGCGCCATGTTCCGGTAGCCAAGCGACTCGAAGCCGAGATCTTCAGGTGGTTGGTCGAGGGTTCCGACTTTGTTCCTTGGACCAAAGATCCTCGCTTCCCGGATGTCAAGCTTCCCAGTCCTCGGACGCAAATTGAGGAGCGTCTGGCAAAGAAGACCAGGGAATTGCAGTTGGATTGACAGAAACTTGTCAATTCTTAGGGAGCATTCCCCAGCCTCATCTGCAAGTCTGAGTCCCTACTATCTACAGACTCCTACAGAGGAAATAGGCAGGGTGGGCTTCGGCCCAGGCTCAGGTCCAAGCTCAGGCCCAGGCCGCGATGAGAGAGAACAAGGAACTCTTCAACACTAGTATAGCCAAGGTGGCTACAGGACATACTGTACGGAGGACATACTGTACATGTGCCCATATATGGCCACATAGCTACATGTACGGAGTACAGTGTGAGACTGCACGACCATCCCATCAACAATCTACCTGTACAGAGAACTTACCTACTAGTCAGCAATCGCGCCGATCCCGATCGTGCGAGTGTTGTCAGGGAATGAACTTGGAGGGTGGTGGAATGTTTGGTTTGGCCTTAGGACCCGGCGCATCTACGTACGTATCCGAAGAGAGATGGCCAAGGCTCCTTAGGCTAATAAGGCTGTATGCGATTTGAAATAATAATAGCGGATTATTATGGGATTGATCAAAAGATTATCCACGGCTATATCGATAACATACCCGCTTGAGTGCGAGATATAGTTACAAGAGAAGGTATCAAGGCAGCATTATCCCATACTAATTAGCGCTGTGAATAATTAACAAGTTATTGAAGGTTGGTGGTGTAGGAGATCGGAGATAACCCGTCATTTGGCATTGTACCCAGCCTCAGGCCTCACAATTAGGGAGGCCCCTAAACTTCAGCTCGTATTCCTGGCCCCTAAGCCCCGCCCCCGCTAACCTCGCGTCGTATCCAGGTCCTCAATCTGACCTACGCAACCCTCGAGCGAAACGGCTTTATTCTAAAGTCCGATAATTAATAATTATGGCAACCCTGCCTGTCCAGCACGGATGTAAGCAGTCATAAGTCATATAAAAATTGGAGGTGCCCTGCACTGCTTGCTACGTGCTGTTTACTTGCTATTTCTCACTGCTTGCTACGGGCTGTTTGCATTTACTTGCTGTTTCCCACCAAGGCAAGGCTGCCAAATCTTGCGTACTGCATACAAGGCGTGTTCTTGACGTGCTATCAATATCGCGGCTTTCTTGACGTATCTTGCAGCTATTTCCTACCTCGCTTCGCTCAGTATTACCCAACAACCATGGCTAGTAAACACCAAGCTGCCATTCTTCCACAAAAAGGCGGCCCCCTGTCCGTCGGAGAACGCACGACGCCCGAGCCCGGTCCCAACGAAGTTCTCATCCAAGTCAAGGCCGTGGCCCTGAATCCCGTCGATTACTACCAGCGCGACTTCGGCATACCGCCCGTACCTGTGTACCCCGCCGTCCTTGGATGCGACACGTCGGGAATCGTCGCCAAGCTGGGCTCCCAAGTCTCCGGCCTGGCGCTCGGAAGCCGAGTCATCGCACTGGCGTCGTCCTTCTTCCAACACGGCTCGCCGGACTACGGCGCCTTCCAACAATATGTCTTGGCCCAGGCTGATGGCGTTATCCCACTGCCGGACAACCTGTCGTTTGAAGAGGGCGCTGTCTTTCCCTTGGCTGTCATGACGGCATTGACCGCCTGGACGACAGTGGGCGTTCCGCTCGACACCAAGTACAGCCCGCAGGACAGACAGGCCGTGCTGATTTGGGGCGGCGCCAGCAGTGTCGGCTCGTTTGCCATCCAATCCGCAAAGTCGCTGGGGTTCACTGTCTACGCGACCGCCAGCCCGAAACACCACGACTACCTCAAGACGTTGGGAGCACACGCCGTCTTCGACTACAGGGCGCCCGATGTCGTGTCTCAGATTGTGGACGCGGTGAAGAAGGATGGCGTCGACCTGCACATCGCACATTGTGTCGTCAATGAAGCCCTGCAGCCCACACTGGACGTGCTCAAGGAAACAAAGGGCAATGGAGTCGCCAAGGTGGCCCATTCGCCTATTCTGCCGCCCGACCACCCGACGCTCGACAACACCGAGATCACGTTCAATTATCCCCCAATGGATCCGGCGAAGAGGGATGAACACATATCCCAGTGTTTTCATGGATGGCTGCAGGGCGGCCTGAAGTCGGGTTCTATTGTGCCCAGCCCGGGCATTCAGATCGAGGCCGGCGGTCTGGAGGGGTTGAATCCGGCGCTGGATAAGCTAAGGGCCGGTGTCAGTGGGATCAAGATTGTCGTCCCAATCTGATGGATGTCAACACTGATGCCAGTATCTTACTAGTCAACCGCTACATGTTTATCCCAACTCGCGTGCTTTCCTGTAGCTGCTTTGTGTTTCGAAGTTCTGCAGTCTTCAGTGACGGAAGGACTATCAGGCCAGCATGGAAAGCTTCGTGCGGCGTGTACATGATATAGCAATCGGCGGCACGGCTTGTGGTCTGATCCATCCGGGTGCGGACAGAGTACGGAGGACGGAGAACTGTCAGCACAAGACTTGACGGTACTCTCGGGGTGCACACCACCAATATTGCGAGCTTAGGGACTGTAACACTAGTTGCGACCATGAGTGAGTACCTTTCAATGAATCAAGTCCATCTATGGCTTGATCACGCTCCGTAGCGTCGACGCCATGACAAGATACCCACACCATTGATTGTGCGCACTGCTGTTCAGCTCCCTGGTGGACGGTGGACACGGGGCATCACTGTCACGTCCACTGATACGCCGGTGTTGATCGTCTGGAGCTGCGAGAGGCATCATGGATGCATGGATGTTGCGCAAGCCATCATGTGGCCAGGCTCCACAGTATGAGTATAGGCACCTAGGAACTTCTCGCAACTCTCCTTCGTACTCTCTCATTCTTGGATAAAATACTCCTCCTAAGCCCGTCTACATGAAGACCTTTCTCTGACAATCGAGACAATTCTTGCATGCTTTGGAGCAAGTGGATTTCTCTCCTTCACCATGATCGTAGTCCTTTGGCCTGCGGCTAACGACAGTGCTAGACAGGAGTGATTGGTCGAACCTCCTCATTTCATGTTCGTAATTAGGAATTCTGCTGGGTTATTTTGCTTCGTCCAGTCCAGTACAACTCAGCTCAATCGATTCAGCCCACGGTCTTGACAGGAGTTGGAGGCCTCGATGGTACAACAGATGGGCCTCGTCGTAGATGATGCGCGCCAGCCGGTTCTGGGTAACCAGGTCGTCGATGAAGGCCTTGAAGGCCCGGTTCACGTTCCAGGTCTCGAGCACAACCACGACCAGGTGCACCGCGCGCCAGCGGTCCGACTCGCGGTTGTTGATGTCGAAGCCGCGTTGGCGCAGCCGCGCGACCAGGTCCCGCCGCAGGCTGCGGTACGGCACGACGACCACCGTGGTCTTGGTTTCGGCCAGCAGCGCCGCGACCTCCATTAGCACCGTCTTGCCCGTACCCGTGGGCAGCTGTACCATCAGCGCGTGCCTCGGTCGGCGGTAGACGAGCTCCTCCACCGCCTGCTGCTGTTGGATGGACTGCTATTGGAAGTCGGGCCCGTACCAGAGACGCAGTTTGTCGCGCACCCGAGCCCAGGTGTCCATCCGCACCACCGTTCCCGCCCCCGTCTGGACGGGCTCGTCCCGCGCCACCTTCTTGCCGCTGCGCTCTCCCTCCTCGTCGGGCTCCTCCTTCTTGGTCCCGACCCGGCCCTCGGCCACCTCCTCCTTGGCCCTGGCCACGCCGTGGAGCTGCCGTAGCGTCCCGGCCAGGTCCAAGGCCGTCGTGGTCGTCGCGGGCGCGGCCTTGCGCTTGTGGGCCCCGGCGGTCGAGGAGGCCTCGTACAGACCGAGGAAGCGGTGCCACTGCTGCGAGTGGCGGAGGAACACCGTCATGGCCCGCTCGTCCAGCCCGTGGAGCATGTCCACGCGGAGGGCGTAGTGATGGCGCTCGACCTCGGGGGTGTGTCCATTGTGGAGGGCACAGTTGTTGTCCTCCTCCTCGGCCGCCGCCTCGCCCCGGGCGGCCTCCTGCTGCATCGCGATGTGGATCTGCCGCCTCGCCCGGACGCCGAGCTTGACGTCGAGGTGCTGCTGGGTGGTCCGTTCCAGCCGAGCAGCCATCCTGGACCGTGGAGCCGCTGGCAGAATATCTTCGTGTTCCAAAATCTTGTTCAGTTCATCATCGCCTCCGACTTCGTGGCCGCCCAGGTTGCCAACAATGTCTTGATACTCGCCCTCGCCCTCGCCCTTGCCTCTCGCGATCCTTGCTCCGGGGATGCGGATCATTGCCGATCTCCTAGGGCCCGAGTGGGAGCGGTGGTTGAGTTATCCGCGGGACACCTCAGCGAACACCTGATTGAATCTGAATACTTTGACGACTTGACACCGAGCCCGGGTTCCAACATCAACCGTAGTACGGCTTGTTCGTAGATCGTCCAGAGATCTGGGAGTGATTGAGGAGTTTCTTGACCCTTGCGATGCAGCACATGCACATGCACACACGTAACGTCGCTTCGCTAAAATGGTAGATGGTAGACCGGATTTTCTGGGAGACGCAGCTTCTAGTGTTCGCCTTTCCTCGACCCGTGAACCGTTTGTTTGGGCTGTCTGGACGTTTACCTTGACGCTCATTCTGGAGACGTCGTCCGCCGTGCAGAGTTACACAGCTGGTCGTTTATTCGTTGGTACGCGTCTCATTCGACCCGAATCCAGAGAGCCAACCCGAAAAGATAATGGCGGTCGCGAGTGCTTCCAACGCGTTCGTGAAAATGAAACCTCCAGGACCAGATACCATCGGAAAACGCCCATCACGTGCTAGTAAGAGTTGACTGCATGTCTGATGACTTGAGATTGGACTGCAATAAAGGAGGGAGGCAACAGGTCGGGCATCGTGGGAAGATAACTGTGATATATATTGAATATAGCACATTTCCACAGCATTCTGACAGCCCTGAGCCCAGCGACATCCCCAGGAGTTTCAAATGGGCCTTCTCCAGTGTGGTCATACATCCGAAGTGTTGCTTCAGCTCTCCCCGTCTCACTTTGCCATGATCTTGTTGCCGAAGCTCTTCACCTCACGACTGGAGTGTTTCCTTCGCCGTCTTCTAGACTAGGCACCGTCTCGAGATTCGCAGAAAGAGGGCAACTGGAAGGCAACGAAGGGAGCTGTGTAGCCATGTTGCTTCATGAGCGCGAGACTGCGTCGATACGTATCATTATTGCGTGGTGATGTCTCTTCCGCGACCCGGTTTCAGTTACCTGAGTTCGATCCAGCCGCGGAATTCTTCCTTGTCAAGGTATAGTTCCATTTGTCTGTCCCTCCGGTCGTTGATGGATCGAGGGCGGCATCAAGGCTGCCTTCGTATCGACAACCAAGACGGATCCTTCCGGGTTGGCCACGGTCGTGCCATGCGGTGCAATGCAATGTTGTCTTGCCTTCCACGGTGAACAGAAGGGTGCTCGCTTGCAGTTCTTTGACTCGGAACAAAATAAGAATGCGACGGTCGAATATCCAGAAGGCGGCCCCTGCTCCAATCACGCACCTTGCAGAGATCAGATTTGTCGTTAGTGGATCTGGACAACCATGTTCAACCACATTCAAGGCGTGATCTCGGTCACACTGGATCCCGGGCATTCCCAAGATACTGCCGATAGTTGATCCGTTACTCGATCGGCCATCATGTTTGTCATGCCGCTGAAGATTGATGACCTCTAAGCTCCGTGAGACGTCGCAGGTTTTGCATTAGCAAATATTGAGGTTGACAGTCAAGATCAACATGACAAAGGTGTTCTTGTTCCAGAGCAGGCATCGGCTTCGCCTCAGTCCATGCAGAAGCCGCCCTCCCGTCCGAGTCTGTGCCGCAGCGGTCGCCGTAGCGCTCGACACACTTCGACACACAAGAAAAGAGATTGCAGGAGGAGGCCATGAAGTATATGAAGATTGGATTCTTCTCTGACTGGTTCGGCGGCAGTGGAGGCGGAAGCACGGAGAGCGAGAAGAAATGAAGGAGGCTTTGACTTGGTCGGATGGATGGAAAGTTTCCACACTTCGGCTATCTCGCTGGTTGGTTGGTGTTGTGCGCTCAAGCAACCAAGTCCACCCAACTGCACAGCCGAGCGAATGTACTGCAGATCTCGACACGCTGAGACAGGTTGTCCTAGGAATCAACCATTCCGGAGGGATGCTCTTCATCAAAGCTGTCTGATAAGTGGTTCCAGATCGAGAATGAACGCATCACGAGAGGGAACGAAGATGGCGAATCCTGGCCCGCTCGACTTCCACGAGGATCTGGTCTTGGGCCAGCCACACACAGGTGCCGTTGTGTGGGTGGTGTCAGACAAGCGCTTCCTGGTCACCTGGATGCTCTTCGGAGCAACGGATCTTGAAGAGATCTGATTGATGGCCGGGTCGAAGTAGAACGCTCCAAATAATCAGTGGCAGAACTGGCTGGCGCATTGCGCGAACCGCTGGATCGCCACCGTGTTCTTGAGAACACAGTTGTAACATGGGTGTCTGGCCGAGACCGTCATCGTTTTCGCTGTCGACGGTGAACAGGTGATGGAGCTGTAGTCAAAAATGTTCCCTCAAGAAGTCAATTCGAAAAGCGAGCTATGGAAGCGGTTCCGAAACATCGACCGTTTCGAGTCACGGGCTGTTGCGAGATATTGCGGGTTCCGAGAGACATCTTTTGTGTGGACCGAGCCTGGGTTCCCGGACTTGTCCATTGGGGACTACTATCCTTCTGATGCGGTGCCGATCACGATGGAAGCTTTGATTGTGGGTTAGAGCAGTGGTGGTGACAGTAGTGACAGCAGCGACTCCATTCCATCCTCGGAGACAGCCATAAGCACAAGCAAGCACAAGCACAACACCTGAGCCCGTATTGCCTTTTCTCCTGCTACCGCCTAGTCCTGGTTCTGATTCTGATTCTGGTCCTGATTCTGGTTCGGGTTCGGGTTCTGTGTCTGCCGAAGAGTCTGCTGACTACGGCCGCATCCATATTGGATATCCATATCACAGAGGAGGCACCGATTGAGTAGCCCTGCAATAGCTGGCCTGAGCGGAGCATACTGCATTGCACCGGCACCATGGGATGTTCACCATTTCGAGATTTTAGCTGTTCTGAGACCGATCTTCCGAGCCACCGATTGTTCTGACCGTTCAAATCAAGTCAGTGTTGCAGAAAGCACAAGCTCATAGGACATCGAAATAACTGAAGGCGCGGTCCATGTTGTCTTTATGCACGGTAGTCGCTCCACATTGTCAAGGGTCTTCGCTAGCTTCGGCAACATGCTGAAAGAGAAGATCGTCCACCTCGGATCGGGAGGGATCAAATCCCGAGAATAGTAGAGTTGGTGGCAGCATATTTTCGCAAGCATGGTGTTGAATTGTAGCCTCTCAAGGATCAATAAATTGGCCAAGTACTGCTCTCCGGTCATGGCCATGCCTAGGAAAGGGCACGGTTGTTGTAGTGGTGTTGGTGGCGCATACTTTCGCAAGCATGGTGTTGAATTGCAGACTCTCGAGAGTTAACAAACTGGCATCGAGAGAGTTTGCCTTGCAGCGCAGCTTGGTATCGACTTCTGGACTGTATGCTGAGGACAAACGAGGCACGACCTCACCGGACCTCGGTCCTGTTGCTGGGGGGCTGCAGTACGAAGTCCGGGTTTGCTGGCTAGACACCGTGAAAGGCCGCTGCCGCTGCCGGCGTTGGTGCGAAAACGTGAACATTGTAAGTCAAGCGTCAGAATCCAAGATCTGTACATGATCTTCCACGCGTTGCGTACTTTGGCTCTGCGCGGAATGATCAGGGCAGCGTCCATTTACTGGCTTGGTTGTGACACGTTGAACATGGCAGCGAGGCGTTCCAATATAGACGCAGTTGTGGCGTGTAATCTTCATACACCCACATTGAGTGAAGATCGTAGTGAGAATGCGACACATTGTATCTCATGTCGAGTAGCCGCCAATACCAACACAGTACCAGTGATCGCGAAAACAGAGCAACAATCATCCACGGCGCGGCGGGAGAGAGGCACAGGAGAAAATATGTGACACAGATGTGGACAACGAGGCGAAGGCAGCGGAAGTCGATGCTTTAATTCCTGCGCCGGTTGCTGACTAATCAATGAACGCATTCGCGGAGAAGAACGCAACCTGTCCTTGCTCTTCGGCGGCGGTGGTGGCTTCTTTAGCGGCGATCTGGGCTTCGGTGTGGTGTTGTCATGTAGAGGATAGCCTCTTGAATGTGATCTTTACCTGTTCTCTATCTCCGACTGTTCTCCAGCGGTAGACTTCCCAGCCCGTTGACATCGCAGCAACAGTCTATCCTCGAGGCGCCCGTTCGCATGTCGTACTCCGGTCTGACCAAGGCGGCCATGGTGCACAAGACGGCGACTCGAATTGATTGGAACATCCTCAGCTGCAGTGAGTTCAGTGTTTTGCGGCACTAGAACCTTCCATGACGCTTGCTCAACGACCTCAACCGTGCCTAGACTTGGAGCAAGATAACCTGCAACCGAAGGCTGGGCTGATGCAATGATGACGTCAACCCTCTGTGTTTTATTCTGCCTGCTGGACAGACGCCCAATTTCGTCCTCAAGAATATAGTGCTGGTGCCGGTGCTGGAAGATGGCGAGCAGGTTGTTGTCAGACTTGGTATTCGCGGCGAACGGAACCAGAGAGACATGTTTGGCGGCGAAGACTGGACCGGGCTCGGCGGGCTCTGCGATCGCATTCGCAGAACCGTCGCTCACCGGTCGTGCGGCGAGGCTGCCAATCCGTTCGACCGGCGCAAGAAAAGACGCCGAGACACCCAGGACGGTCCGAGAGGCGACGGATTAGCTGATGGACCCAGACCTGGATCTGGAGCCGGAACCGGGATCGGCGAGACCTTTGAGAAGAGGAGGAAGATCATGCAGCAGCGAGCGGCGAAGAAGACTCATGTCCAAGATAAGTAGTATAAAGGCCATTTGAAATGCGTGTGGTTAGAGCGCTGCTCGACCATCGGATCAATGCCGAGCACACCATGGCGGACGACGAAGGACTGGATGATTATGGTGAAAGTCGAGGATTCGCCTTGTTCAGCCCATGTAGCGGTGACACCTGGGAAACGGCCAGGTCTGTTCTGGTAGAGCCAACGACTGTGACTGGGCGCCTTTCTGTCGTAGAGAACATTCGAATACAGGCGGTAGCAGAATCCGTGGGAACAGGGAGGGGCGATGAGATGATGTTAAGCGTGCTACTAGACAGTCTCGATGGCTGGACACTGATGCGTAGCAGATAGGTCATTACTCGAGAACTGCATTGGTCTTGCAATGGGTGCCAATGCCGGTAGCTTCGGCTGACCGGGGCTGCGAGCCAGGCGGTCGGTAATCGTAGTGTAGTGTGGCCAGTTCGTCCCGATGATCAGAATTCATTCGTAGGATAGTAGTAGACGTAGACTGTGACATAAGATTTTAAGCGTATTCCCTTTCACCTTACTCCCTAGAACACCCAGTTGCCCTGTTGTGCTAGGTGGAACCGGATGATATAAAAAGAGACAAACAGGGCGCACCCCTAGATTTTGAACCCAACGCCCCCAGACATTGGATATTGGTACAAATATGATACAAAGCCAGGAAAGACCTTTTCCATCGGCTGCTCAAATTCTCTCCGAAACCAGAGTATGTTCGTAAATAAGGTGTTCCTCCGGTTTTCAGCCCTCCCTTAGCTGGGCTTCAGAGAGCGGCACTGATGTGACGGTTGTTTGTGCATTTTTGAATGGGCATCCAGCCTTTGGTATCTCTGATTTTTGGATCTGCACCATGTTTGAGAAGAAGTTGAACCAGTCTGTCATTGCCCATAACATAGGCCTCGTGTAGCGGGGTTCCGACACCGGCGTGTATCCCATAGTAGTAAGACGGATTCCCTTCGAATTCGATTGCATTCACGTCTGCGCCATGATTCAAAAGGAGCTCGATGATGTCGTCTTCGCGGCCGTGACGAACGGCCATATGTAGCGGGTTGCCAAAATGGACTGAAGCACCATGCTCGAGAAGCAGATCGAGAGTCTCTCGCGACGCCAAAGCCGCAGCCCACGCAAACGGGGTAAATTTTTCCAAGTCGAGGACGTTTGGATTGGCACCGTGTTCGACGAGGTATCGGACAAGCTCCAAGTGAGAGAGAGCGTCCCTATGAATGTTAGAATCACTCCCATCAAATAGACAAGCTAGAGAGAGGGAACTCACTCCCAAATCATTTTGAGGTAGGGATCTCGGGTGTTTCTGCCGAGATCCACGCCGTTCTGCAATAGCAAATCGAGGGCCGGGTACGAACGATTCTTCATTGCCACGTAGAACTCCAGGAATGAGGGCTTGACGCCTATCCGGAGGAGTAGAGACATGATCTCAACATGGTCGAGATCCGTAGCAATGCGGAATGCGGCAGACTTGTCGTGATCGGCAACCTCGCCTTCGAGGAGGTGCTTGACTTCATCAACGTCGCCGGCCAGAGTTGCTTGGGTCAAGGGACGGTTGTCGAACAAGCTCATGATGTCAGGGAGTAGTGGATCAATACGTACGGCGTCCTGTGTTGGGAATGGAAACAGTGTGTGGGTTAGAAGCACGATGAAGAGTAGAGACAGTGTAGTACAATGCAGTGCCGTGTCACAGGAAGTGGAAATGGAACGAGGAGGGCGAGGTAGAGTTGGATGGCGGTGTATAGATCACTGTGATGAGAGTCTTGGCGTCCCACGTGATGTGCCCATGATGTATGCTTTTGTCGTCATTGCCCTCGCGAAGTGATGGAGGCGAGGTGATGAAACGAGGTGATCCCCCTTTTATCTCGTCCAATCTCTTCGTTGTTGAGGGAGGCCGACTTGGTACCTCGTCAGGCACGTGACAGTCCTCGACAAACAAGTCACGTGCCGAGACCAGTAGCTGGGCGACAGGATCACTACGCGATGGCTGGACGCCCTGGTATTCTCCAACCCATGGAAACAATGGCGAGATGACGACGGCCATGTCTAGAGGGACGAGGGACACTCTGCCGCCGCTCGTCCAAACATTATCCTGCCAGTATCGATGCTGTTTATCCCGTGGGCTCAGCATCCACCTCTCCTGTCTTCTTTCTTTGGCCCAGATGCCTTCAGTTCCCATTCTGTAGAACTGGAATTACTCCAAGTGTCGCCTTGGTTGAAGAATGTTCATCCTTCAAGTGGTCCATGCTTAGCGGGATCCAGCCTCGGCCCGGTCCGGTCCTCAGGCATCCATCTGACTTGGAATGGCCGATGCGTTGATCCTCCCGCTTAGCGTCTCCACGAGACCGAGACAGAAACATGTGGACCTTCTAGCCCCGGAGGCATTTCGAGACCATTTGGCGTATTAGGATTAGGATTAGTATTCGTCTTCGTCTTAGTACCGTATTTGCCTGCGCCGGTCACCTTCCGGTCAAGCCACCGGAACCGAGCTGCCGGGAGGCATTTAACGGCAGGAATGGGGATACTGCGTAGACATGCATGTATGATATGATATGCATGGGCGGAGACACTATCCGCATCCATCCATACTCATTCACTCACTACCGTGCTCACTACTCACTCAGTCCTCAATCCTCAGTCCTCACTACTACACTGTCCTCCTCACTCCTTACTACTCACTCTGTCCTCTATACAGTACCCTCACTACTACTCACTCCTCACTCCTTACTCCTCACTACTACACCATCCTCCGTATCCGTACAGGACTTTGTACAGTCCTACCTTACCACCTACTCATACTGTAGTGAGTGAAGTGCCCAAGCTGTCTAGGTAGGAACAGCATATGTGTTTTGCATGTCAGGACAGGATAGGATAGGATAGGATGGGGTAGGGTCATGCGTGACCGTTGTGCAGATCACACACCACGAACCACACAACGCACGGAGTACTTGCGTGCGCCACGCCAACGCCACCGCCACCGCCACGGCTCGCGTGTGCGACTCGCACGTTTAATGATTGACAGCGGGTGGAAGTGAAGTTGTGGCAGACCCAGGCACGACCTGCGACCTGGGCATTGATTGACTCCGTACAGAATCCGTCAAAGTAAGCGAAGCCCCCTATCATCGTCTGGACGTATCACAGTCGATTCTGGCCCCGGTCAACACCCGTTTGGGACACTTACATTGATCTAGGTCGAATGGGAATGGTCTTGCACGGGTATTCCGTCCGGTGGACACGTCAATCTCGACCTCGGTCATATCATCTCAGAGTCATGGTAGTGCAAAACGGAGAAATTAATCTCTTCATGCTTTGTGGTTTGGTCGGTTCGCTTGTTCGGGTCAATTTGCGACTCGGGTGGTGTAGCTAGGTGGTGTAGGGTCAATCTGCACGACTCAGTACTCTGTAGCCAGATGTTGTAGCTAGATGCTGTAGCTGGGTGGTGTAGCTGGGCTGTAGCTGGGTACTACTACGACGCACATGGTTCTCGTCCTTTCATCAGATCCGAGTGCGAGGCCCTTAGCCTCTGCTACGCTGTTCCAGGTACTACCAGCTTAGTACTGTAGCTATATGCTGTAGCTACGTGCTGTAGCTAAGTGCTGTAGCTAGGTACTGCAGTACTCCGTACTGTGCCATGGGACTATGGTCTCTGGCCCTTTACTGTCTCTGGCCCTCTCCTCTCCACTTTGGACCTGTACCTACCTACCTACCTACCCACCTCCCCACCCACCTAGCGAGCAAGCAAGCAACACCATGTCAGCGTGGACGGACGGACGAATAGTCGGAAGGCCTTGATGCGGGTCGGTCTAATTGCTAGTTGATGGGGACCCCAATGTCGGGCAGACTTGGGCGGGACCAGCCAGCATGCATGCATGTGTATATACTGCAGCGAGCAGAGTACATATAAGCGACGTTGGAGGTGGAAGGAAGGCTAAGGTGTTAGACACCGATTCACAGCTCTGGCCGAGTAGTGTACAGTACATATGTCTAGGAACGCTTTCTTCTCCGCCACTCTCACAATCGCTTCCAGCAGCGTGACCCAGTGACGGACGACTTCGGCATCCAGTGTGCACGCATGCTGGCGGAGTTCGAATTCGACGGTAGGCTTGATGGGTTTCCATGGCGTTTCGCACTTAGCCAGAGCCCAAAGGTTGGCCAAGTTGGACATGTATCCACGGTGTCTGCACCCATGTACGTCTGAAGACACGGATAATTCTGTTGTAGGCGGCCCGAGCTCAAACTCAAGCTCAAACTCAAACTAAAACTGAAGCTCAAACTCAAATTCAAGCTTAAAGTCAAGCTCAAAGTCAAGCTTGACATCTTCACTCTTCACTCATTCATCACTGTCGTTACGTAAGTTTATTGCTCTGCCCTGTTCGATTGGAAGAAAGCCATGATCATGAACCCACGTGGAACTAGGGAACTTTATTCCATATTGACGGAACTCTCATGGACCATTGAACTAGGGAACTGTATTCTATGTTGACGGAACGAAACTCTCATGGACATGCACACCTAAGGTAGGTAGGTCGGTATCTGTACAAGCAGCATCATCTGGAAGCAGCGTCATCTGAGGTACCTACATACCAGGACAAGCAGGGTCGGGCCATTCACGTATGTAGGTAGGTCGGTAGATACGTAAGTAGGTAGGTAGATGATACACTAACCACGTGTGCGACGAGGCGTGCAACGCAACGCTTTCCGGGAGTTCAACGTCGGAAACCGTTTAGCCACAGCCCTGAGACACGCTCAGCTCAACCTCATTCCAAGGCTTGATGGACCAACCATTGTACCTGTGACTGTAACTGTAACTGTGATTGCAACTGCATTTGCAGCATTTGCTGCTCTGGTCCCCAGTGGGACATCCGGATCCATCACATCACATCACATCGACGACCATAACAGCTTCAGCTTCAGCCTGTGCACTTCTCTCCAGGAGGCCGGTACCAGATGCCCAGACAGGAAATAGAAATCTCTGCCCAACTCAACTCAAACCAGACCGGACAGACCCAGCAGACCAAGCAGACCAGGTCAAGTAGACCAATCACACCAGACGAGAGTAGACCACATCGGACCAAATCAGACCGTCTATACTACTGTCATACTCTAAGCACAGCAGTGAATGTGCCCAACTCCCGACCCGAACCCACGTTGCATGCGGAACTCTGTGCCGGACCTGGAACGTTCCGAGGCGACGTCGGTCCCTCTACTCTCAAGAACTGTCCGGATGTGTTTCGAGACGTCTCTCAGAGGCTTCTAATTACTAATTACTGCTTCGTACCACTGCTACTGTCCCTACTGTTCCCACTGTTCCTGCTGTTCCTGCTACTGCCACTGCTAAGCTACTGTCACTGCCACTGTTCCTACTGTTCTAGCTGTTCCTGCTACTGTTCCTTCTACTGTCCAGCTACTTCTCAGCTACTGCCACTGCTACTGCCACTACCAATGCTACTACCACTGACTGTACTGCCAATGCAACTCCTGTAGTCCCCATCAGACTGCCGAGCTCAACACCCCTCGGGAACAATGTCTTTGAAGAAAGACAACTGTCCATCACCGATGCGAAGACTACGAAGCATATCAGACGAGACTCAGAGCTAGACCAGGGCCTGGACAAGGACAAGGGTTGCACTGCATTTCATTCATTTTATTGCACAGCATAGCATAGCATAGGATTTCGTTGCATTCGTTGCATTCGATTACTTTGCATTCATCTCATTTCTTCTCGTCAACCTCAGCCTTGACCCCGGGCGGCACAAGGCAATCGAGGAAGGACCTGTCAGGCTACCGACATGTCAGACTACCTTCTCCCTTTCCCGTATGCGACATCCAATACAAGCTACATCACCAGAATGGAGCCAGACCAACCACATGAGAATGATCCCGACCAAGATAACTGCGGACAGCGAACTCTTGAAAATATGCACGACAGTGGTATGATATTCTTCCTTCCTCTCTTTCGAACAATCTCTCCGTCAAATCGAGGATTCCGAATGCTTCTTCTCTCTTTCGAACAATCTCTCCTCCAAACATTCTCTTCGTTGGATCGATTGGTTTTGCTTGCAAGGTCCCTCTGCTGACAGTCTTACTCCTGCACTTGCACAGGTCAAAAAGCTCTGCTCCGAGCCCGAATGGTGGAACCTCTCCGACCTCACCGAGGTGAGACCCGACGACAACGTGGTCGCCATCCTGGTGAAAGTCGGCCTGACTTCTGGAGCCATCTCCATCCATGTCCGGGGCACGGACGAGTACAAGGGCCAGGTGGGACAAGACTACTTGGGATATACCGTCATTGTACCTTGGACGCCCGGATTGCTGTTCATATGCATTGGGCCTTGTCGGGTGGCGGTGGTGAGGGAGAGGAGAAAAAGGGTAGTGTCAGCCTTGCCGCAAGCTCAAGCTGTGCAAGTGGAAGTGAACGGGAAAGGAACCTGTCATGCTTGTGGTTAGATGAGTTGTTCCGCAATGCCAATGATCTTCCTGCCTCCTCAGGAACCAAGCTAAATTTCCATCAGTTGTTCCCGATGCCTCAATGAATGCAGAGATAATGGTACGGTCAATTGAATGGTGATGAATGGTTGGGCGGTATTCCGGGCAGGTATAGTCAGCCGTATGTCGCCCACCCGCTTCGAAGAGAGGATGAATATAGTGTCCATTGGCGACAGCTTGTACACTCCTCCTTCAATTGATCCTGTTCTAGTCAGCACCGAAGACCAGTACAAAGATTGATCTGGTATACAAACCGTCAAGTTCCGTCTCCAGCCTCTCCAAGGAGGCTGCGGAAAGCGTCGGGATGTCTTGATCTTCCCGCGGGGAAACCACTCCCCTAGTCGGCAAGAACAGTGTGCTATTCGGAGAGATGGGCACAGACACATCGCCAGCCCTGGCATTGGCATTCAACGCTTCGTCTGGTGACGTTTCGTCAGGAGTGGGCAGCACAACTGTATCAAGCTTACCCAAGGACACTCCAATGGCTTGGTCCGCGATATATCCTTCGTTCATGGATCCTGGTTAGGCCTCCCCAGATTATTCACTGTCAATGGAATTCATAGCTTCATCAAAAAAACCAGCATCCATAACTTCATCAGTAGAACCACTGTTATCGGCGTTGTAGGCCTCGTCATCATCGACACCATTGGCATCATCAACATCATTAGGGTCCTCGGTCTCCTCGACTTCCGGGATTGTTGCCGGGCATGCCGCAAATTCGGCAGGAAAACACTCAGTTTCATCCCCTCGGGTGGTCTCCGCGTCTCTATGAAGGTGCAGGTTCGGACTGCTGTGGTGTGCCTGTTCATCGCTGCCTGGGAGTGGTAAGTTCGAGCGGCTATGAGGCGTCCCTGGAGGTTGTAGGTTTGAACTGCGGCGGGCCGTTTGCTCTTCGCTTGGAAGTTGTAGGTTTGAGCTGTGTGCATTCTGTTCCTCTCCGGGAAGTTGTAGGCTCGAGCTGATCCGAGAAGTCTGCTGCTCTCCAATCGTGAGTTCCAGGTTCGAGGTGGCGGGCCTCTGCTCCTCTCCGCCCATGAGTTGCTGGTTCGACCTGTCTGCCGTCGGCCCTCTGGGAAGTTGTGGGTTTGAGTTGGTCTGAGATGTCTGCTGCTGTCCACCCAGGTGTTCCAGGCTCGAGCTGGGACATCTCCGCTCCTCTCCATCAGGGAGTTGTAGGTTTGAGATGGTAGAGGTCTGTTCTTCCCTGCTTTGGGGTGTTGGCTCCTCCTCCAATGCCTGGTCCGGCCACGGTCGCTTTTGGGGGATAGCCGGGATCAAGCCTTGCTATTCTGTTAGATGTGCTTGTGTACCCTTCCGTTGCTGATGATTCCTACCTTCGCTCCTCGGAATAATGTCCTTGTAGCGTTCAACCAGTTCGGAGCACAGTTCAGTAAAGGATATGGGGACATTGACATGGCCCCACCATTGTCGAATGGTGGCAATGAATCCGGCAGGGTCCTTGGTGGTTCCCAGCATGGTGATGGGCAGCGAAAATCCACAGAGGAAGAAGACCTCATGGCCCAAGTCATGAAGAACCATGCGGAGAAGGTTCCGTGCCGCCTTGTGCCTACTTCTGGTGGTTTCGGTGAGCTTGGCCAGTCCAACATCGTCTTCGTGGAACAAGGCTATGATCTTCTGGAGCCAAGTTACGAGTATGTCACTGGCCGCATTGGTCTTGGAAAAATGGGAGAGGGTCGCCTGCAATTTGTCCACATGTCTTTGATATTTGGGGTTTGGCTCAGGCACAGACATGCCGGGATAGGTTGAACTTCAGGTGGCAGGGGGGGTAAAACGTAGACAGTAGACGGTAGACAGGTGAGGACTCCAATCCAAGTGAACGGAGTGAGAGTGGATAAATCAGGATGCAAGTGGAAATGGGTAGAAATGGACAAAGGTGGATGGAAGCGGAATGAGTAGAAGTAGGTAGTAATTAGTGCGTAGAGAGTAGATAGGTAGAGTACGGAGTAGGTTGAAAATGCAGAGTTGATGGAGGTGAACCGCATAGGTGAAGGTAAGGGTGAAGAGAAAGCAGGGGTGAAGCAAGGTCTGGGCAGGGTGGAAGCAGGCATGAATCAGGGGTGAGAACAGCGGTGAGAGCAGTGGTCGGTGGCAGCAGGCTTGAGGGATGAGAACAGAGCTGGGAGCAGTAGTCGGTGGCAGTAGGCGGAAATCAGGGGTGAGAACAGCGTTGGGAGCAGCAGTCGGTGGCTGCGGGTGTGAAATCAGGGCTAGAACAGGGCTGAGACCAGCGGTCGGCAGCAGCAGGCGTGAAATCAGGGGTGGGAGCAGCATTGAGAGCAGTGGTCGGTGGCAGCAGAGTTGGGAGCAGGGCACGAGGCATAGGTGGTGGTGGTGGTGGTGGTGAGTGGGCGAGCCAGCGCCTACGGCCCGTCTGGTCAGTAGACCACGCCGATGCAGAAAGCCTAGCATGGCTACGGACTGTGCTTGAGCGGATAGGCCATAGGAAAAATCATCTGCGCCTCTGCATAGCCTAGGAGTTGACAATTTTGGGGGGAGATAGGGAGGGGAAACAAGGGTGGAAGCAGGGCAAGTAGGTCAGGAGTAGCGGTGAGTAAGAGGGAAGCAAGCCTAGACATGAAAGAGGAGGTAGAGAGCAGTCAACGACAGCCAGTCCTCCGTACTCCGTACTCTGCAGAGGAGAGCCGGCCTGGAGGAGGAAGCCTCTTGATTTCGCCCAGTGACTGCTGAGGATCAATGTGAAGTGATTGAGTGTCTGTACTCCTCCGTAGATGGTCTGATGGGACCAAGGCCTCGAAGACTCGAGGCAGTCTTGTCGTCTTAGTGAATGAGGCAGCAAAACATCCCTAATCAGAGATACAGTCTAGTATTGTCCGTACGAGAACAACTCTGTCAGACGAGAAGATATCGGTGTATGGCATTGTAACAATGCAGCAGGTGCAGCCCGCGCTGAAACAGTCACCTGGAGGAAGGATGGAGATTGGTGAGTAAAGAGTAGTGTACGGAGTGGGTAGAGAGACGAAGTTCCGTAGCTTCATGCAAGAGAGACGGAGTTCCGTAGTTTCATGCAAGAAGTCAGAATGTCGTCCGAGCTCCCTGCAGGTGAAGTGATGATTTGATAATGGAAATGGAAATGGAGAACAGACACGGGAAGAAGTGTGGATCGCAGGGACGGCGCGTAGGTGGGATGGAGGGCCGCTGCCGGGGTGGATTGGATGGGAGAGAAAAGAGAAAAGACTCAACGGGAGAGGGGGGAAGAGGGATAGAGAAAAGAGAATAGAGAAAAGAGAAAAGAGAGAACAACAGAAAGGAGGAGGAGGAGAGGTGGTGGTGGTGGTTGGGGGGGGGGGG